CTCTCAGCCCCTGAAATCTAGTATCTGGGATCGCTTTCTATGTAGTTTTAGAGTAGCAGCCATGTTAGTCTGTATTCGCAAAAAGAAAAGGAGTACTTGTGGCACCTTAGAGACTAACCAATTTATTTGAACATAAGTTTTCGTGAGCTACAGCTCACATCAGATGAAGTGAGCTGTAGCTCACGAAAGCTTATGCTCAAATAAATTGGTTAGTCTCTAAGGTGCCACAAGTACTCCTCTTCTTTCTATGTAGTGTTAACTGTTGACAAATAGAGACAAAAATAAATTGCATTTACTCATAAAAGAAAAACTACAAGTAAAATGAATGTAGGAGGAAAAGGTGAAGGAGAATTAAGATTTCTATAGCCATCCTTTAAAGTCACATCATAGCCTCTCTTTTTGGTGGGGGATGGAGGGAAGTGAAGTTTATTCACTGCAAATGTTTTACAGATTTTCGTATGGCATGAATGCTACCAAAGTCAATACCACATTAGGCCCTTCCCCACTTCCCATGCATCTATTGTTCAGATTAGGCTTGCACCACTGTAGGTTGCAGTTGGTGCATATATAGTTATCTGAGTAGGAAAGCTCTGTCTGAAATAACCCCGTGTTCCAAATGAGTAAATAATATTCTCTTGGTTAGGTTTATGAGTTTGGTTAATTAGACAATGCAACATCAGCCAATATTTCTGAGTTTATCAACCACGTTCTACTAGCAGTCCAAAGCACCAGCTTTAGAGCAGAGACTTGCACCCCTAATGTGACTGAATGGTTCAGAAAGAGGTGTGTTTATTACCATGCAGAAAGTCATTGCATGTTTACCAGACAAGTACTGTGACTAATCATTCCCTGTGCAGACACGACTGAGACTCTCTGAGCCCGGGCAAGCTAGACTCACTCAGACCTTTAAGTCTAACTTATTATTGTTGTTTAATAAAAAGATCTGTTTGTAAGGGGTCCTCTGGTGATTTTCTCTCCACTTACTTGGATTTGTGTACATTCAGTTTTGGAGCTTTGACAGCAATAAGTGATTTTGATGCTTGATTCTCTTTTTGGCTATTCATTAAACTACAACTATTTAAAAACAACAACACTGAATTCACTGAGAGGTTTTGGTGACTTTCTGGTTGCTTCGGTATTGCCAACCCCAAGTATTAAAAAAAAAATAATGAGTCATGCCCAAAAATCATGATTGGTTTAAAAGTCATGAGTAGTTTTTTTTGTTTGTTTTGTTTTTTTTTAAGCAAATGTTGGATTCTTTTTATTTACTTTCTGGTTTTTCCAAGCTTTGTTTTCCTAAACATTTTTTTTTAAAATGAAAGCTGAGATTCTAAAACAATCCCAAGACTCCAGGAGCTGGAGTTTTTAGACAAGCATTAAATGTCACACAACTGATGACTAAAATTGCAAGAGTAGACAACGCTGCGATTTCAGGATCAGATTCTATATTTTGAGCAACAGAAATTGGGACCACGTTGTGCTGGGTACTTTACAAACATGAGAGAGAGTCCCTGCCCCAAACAGCTTACATCCTACATACATAAGACAGACAAAGGATGGGAGGGGAAAGAGGCATGAAGAGGTGAAGTGATCTTGAGGAAAATCACCCAGTAAGTCTAGCTTGGGTATATAACCCAGGCATCCTGATTCTCAGGCCAGGACCTTCTATGCTAGATCAAGTAGAGCATGAGCATATTAAGTGTTAATAATCCCTTTATTGATAACAGTTTACAGTTACTGTGGATCCTTGATAATAAAACAGCAATGCCAAGTTGCATCTTGGTAAGCAACATCAATATTATGTATTTACATAATTTTCTTGTAATTGTAATACTAAACTTAATGGAAACTGGTACTGAGCATATGCAAAAATGATTCTTTGAATAATTTTTTTTTTAATTTCAAATTTGCTTGGAACCTAGCATGTGAAAATTCTCAGCCTCTAACATTCACCCATGTTTGAGTTATGTGCTTGTCACAAAATATTTCTGGAAAAAAAAAATCCAGCCTTGATGATTCTAAATGGAGTTTGCTCAAAAACAATTCACCTATGGGCTATGACCAAGCATAGAAATTTTCAATTGTAAAGAACTTTTCAGAAAGTTATGATCTTGTGAAACCAGGGAATTTTTAGTATTTACTTGACTCGCGCTTTTGCAGTATTACACTGAGTCTGCTATTTATGCAGGTTCTTCAGCTAGATAATGATACTAGAACAGTATTTATGAGGAAAATAATGTCTGTATTGCTTTTGACCTTCCTACCTGCAGCAGGCTGCAAAACTTCAGTAAGAGTGTTTGTCACAGGGTAGCATGTGTCTCCTTTCCCAGTATCACTGTTGATAACAGTTTTATAAAAGTCCTCAAAGCAGCTTATTTATTTCCCTTAATAAATTAGGTTTTAACCTCCATGGTCTTGCCTCAGGCAATTAACTAACAATCCAGACTTCAATTACGGCTATAAGAAGAGTTCTTATGCATTGTTATTGCCTAAAGGAGCCTGTGCCCAGCCAAACTAGAGAAATGCATCATTTAAATATTTTACATTGTCTCATATCTCTGCAGTTGTTTCCCCCCTCAAATTTAATATAAAGTTTCTTTTGTTAAAGGAACCATATAACCTTTCTCCTGCTTGTGCAAAAGAAGAAATCATAATCCTGTTGCCATGGAATGAAATTAGCTTTGGGATTATGGGTGGGGAAAGGTTTGAATTAATAGAAATCTGCTGTTTAAACTTGTTTTAATAGAGATCCTGAAACTAAGTCATGCAAATAGTTTCTCCCATTTAATTAATTATCAGAAGTTAACTGGCTCTCAAAAAACAAGTGTACAAGGGGCAGGGTGGATTTGATTTAGATCAAATTGATTTAAATCATGGTTTAAATCACTAATCAGGAAGACTCGATTTAATCATGGTTTTCTACAACAGGTTAATCATTAATATTTGGAGGATTTTCTTGCCATGCTATATTAGGAGGAAAACATCATGAAACGGATATTTAAATTGTTTTATTTAACTAAAATAACATTAAGTATTCTGAATTTTTTCCTTCAATGGCAAACATAATATTTTAACAAAACAAGCATACTTCCCTCGCTTCTCACCTCTATATCCAGACTTCTCCTTGTCCAGATCTATTCCGCCCCAACAATCTTCTCTTCATTGGACTTTTTGAAACTTTGCACTTTTAGAAAGAGGTAAGGGATTGACTCTGCGTACACAAATTTGCAGAGGGGCAATAGGTCTGTTATTTCTCACCTCTCTATATTATTTATTTATTTTAAAACATTTTTGCTGTTAACAAGCATGTTACCTCTGGAGACACAAATCCATAGTTTGAGAACTGCAAAACTAAGCATTTCTGACTGTATCTTCTAGCCTGAGCACTGAATCCCATTGGGTAGATAGAAAGATTAACCTAAATAATCTATACAGAAGCCTGTGGAACCCCATAAGATTGGGTCCCCTAATCCATGAACTATTGGAACTCATTTACAAAACTTTTCTTAAACATTACATGAATATATTGTCTCATATTATAGAATTAGAATTTATGATCCCTATTCCCTGATGAGATGTCTTTGAGCGATAATGTATCTTAATTAAAACTATCTTTAGATAAAATGCTTTTTGAGGGGAAAAAAAGCAATCAAAAAACCTGATTTTTTTTATTTTTTATTTTTTAAAGATCATTGATTTTTATCTACCCTGACAATGGGTAAAATCTTGCTTATCCTACTCAGGAGGAAAAAATCCTCTCTGAAGTCTAGAGGAATACTCACATGTGTGAGACAAGAAGGATCAGGGCCAATGTATACTTTGTTTTGTCTCTCATAAATCTGTGTATCTAATCTGTGTTTATACATCCACTCTTCAGCATAGGATCTTGACTCTGGCTACACAACACTACATTTAACAATGAATTAAGCCTGAAAGAGGGACACTTGTTTAGCTAATATATTCCTTTGCTCAGGGAAAGGTTTCTTTCATATCTAAAGAAATGGGGCTTCAAATGTGCATTAATGTGGCCAACCTGGTTCATCCTGATCACCTGTAGCAGTGTTCTAGAATGTAGGGCCTGCAAAGCTCTGCCCACTGAGTACATTGGCTCTGTACAGCGCTTCTCCTACCTCCCTTGTTTAAAAAGCAGTGTGCAAACCAACGGGCTTTTGCAGGGTTGTGTCAATGTCTGAAGTGTGCTAAAAGAGTCCAGAATAACAAAGTTAAATGCAGTGTTGTTAAATCATGAAGTAACTGAAAAATTGTAATTAACAGAAAGTAAACTCAGAAAATAATTGCTGATGATTGTCAGAAGTTAAGATGATGGCCTGTTACACAGTGGAGACCAGAAATGTCTATTAAAAACATATAGGATGGCAGGTTAGCTCAGTACTTAGGCATGAATTTGGAAGTCAGCAGTTTTGACTTCAGCCAGTACTGAAATGCTGCAGTTTATCATTGGGCAATAAGTGAAAAACACTAGCCAACTGACACTGCAGAGGGAATTTGGGTAGATAGAATCTTTATGTGGCCAAGATAAAAGGTCTGTTTTGCTGTATAACATCTTATGAAGCACTGAGGGAATTGCAGCCAGTTGGATCACATTTTTAGCTGAACACTCTGTTACCTCTCTTTTTGGCAAGTAATTCATTATTAGTGCACTGGACTGGTGGGGGGGAGGGGAAGGAGGAGGAAGGACAGGATACATGTTCATTTGAAAAAATAAGATACTTGATGCTGTTAATGTTCCTGTTTGTCACTATATTACTGCTTTACTTTGTAGTTAACTGTATTTTGGGGGAAAAAACCATAGCGTGTTCAATCTTAGAGTATACATTTAAAAAATAAAAAAGGAAATTTAAATGTAAAGAGACGGCACCTTCCTAATTTACTCCCCACTTTTGAACTGAAAAATTGGCTTGATAGTCTGATAACCTGTTTATACTTCCATGTTTTAACAAGTTTTTTTTTTTTTTTTTTTTTAATTCCCGTGTTTACAGGATGTGATTGGTGGAAGTCTGATTTCAGCTGCGTTAATTGCACTCACATATCCTGCATGGGATATCATAGACCACTTGATGTTAACTAGTCCATTCTGCCCTATACTTTCTATAACTGTGCCCCTTCTCCTATGTTACAACTATCCCAAACTAGAGAATTACAGCCCTACCCGAGCAGACACAACTACTGTCCTTGGATCAGGAGCTGGAGCAACCATAGGATTCTGGTTAAATAACCTATATGCAGCACCAAACTATCCCAACAAAAGTCTTCTCCTCAGCTTTCCTCCAATCAGTGAGATGATGATGGTGGTGCTGGCAAAGTTCTTAGTAGGGATTTTTATTCTTTTGGTTACACGTTATTTCATCAAAGGCATGGCCCTCCGTGTGTTGTGTTCTAGGTACCAGGTTTCTGTCAACGATCTAGAAGCCAGACGACGACTGGAAATAGAAGTGCCCTACAAATTTATAACATATTCTTCTGTTGGCTTCAGTGCTACAGTGCTTGTACCATTATTGCATGAGTTATTAGGATTAATATGAGTGCAGTGCATTGTTAGAAATAATTTATGGCAAAACCATGTTAGAGATACAAAAAAATTTACACAAAGGTAAAGATTTGACCTTTCTGCACTGGTGTAAAATACCTACTATTGAATATCCCAAGGAATCACTGAATGTAAATAATTTAAGATTAGAAATTACTGGCTAGTCTGTACCCACAGCTACAGATCTGTGATCCAGGTGGTTAGTATGACGAGTACAAAAACAAGAACTCCTGTTTATATGGCTTTTGTTTACTTTCCAAAAAGTTAGCACGTGCTACAGTATCAGTGTTGTGTCACTCAGGGTTCAGCCTCAGTACTTCACTCCTCCGTTTTGGAAACATCACTCAGGGGATGGTCACATGGCTGGAGATAGGGTAGGTTCCCCTCATGGCATCTGCAATCCCTGCTGGTCTCCCACGCTTCAAGTAAGGGATTCTATTTTATGCATGCCATGTAGGGTGTAGCAGATGCGAGAGAGCAATTCTGCTGCAGGGACAGAACCAGCTCCCCAGTGGTCAGGAATTGGGGTTAGTGTAAATACTACTATTAAGGGGGGAAAAAAAGCATGCACATGTGTGCAGCAGGGTTGAGGAGGCCTCATGTGGGGAAGAAGCTGCCAATCTAGTATTAAAGCAGGGGTCCTCAAACTGAGGTCGGGACCCCTCAGGGGGTTGCAAGCTGTCAGCCTCCACCCCAAACCCTACTTTGCCTCCAGCATTTATAATGGTCTTAAATATATAAACAAGTGTTTAATTTATAAGGGGAGTTGCATTCGGAGGCTTGCTATTTGAAAGGGTTCACCAGTACAAAAGTTTGAGAACCACTGTATTAAAGCTTCACTCTCCAGCCTATCAGTGCTCAATATTGTGTTCTCCTGGGTAATTGGGCAGCCAAAGGAAGAAGTTGCTGAGGGGGGCAAATCCAGAGGGAAGGTAGCAGGAAATTAGAAGTGATCAGAAAGAATTAAGCCTGGCTAAGTGGGTGGTTAGCCAAAACCAAAACGGCTGGAAATGATGTAGGGCCTGATGCTGCTATGAAGCTGCACTTTAAAACTGGCATGGATTCAGTGGAAGTGTCCTGCTGACTAACATATCAGGCTCTCTGAATAGATGCCCTTGGGAATTAACATGCACAGAAACCATAAACCTAGATAAGGTTACATGTGTGTGTTTCCCTTGTGACTGCTCTTAATTGTTAAATGTTGAAATTTTATGACACTTTTTGTCCTTGCTACTTGACGTAATCCGTCTTCTCCGTACAGACAGCTTTCCTTGTTAAGACTTGTTTTACCTATTGGAATTCTTCAAAGAACTACCGGTAACTTTTTTTCTTTTGTGTTTCATACCAAAAATGTGACTGAAGTGTTACTGAAAATTCTGCTTGGCTATGCTTCAACTAGGGAAGTGAGCACACAACTGGGAGCCACATCCTCCTGAATCAATATCGCACCTGACATGGATTCCCCTCTTGGGCAAGTCACTTATCCACCTTGCCTCAGCTCCCCCATCTGTAAAAGTGCAACAATAATGTCTGCCTACCTCACAGGGATGTTGTGAGGACTAATTAGTGTTTGAAGTGTATTATGGAAAGTGCTGAGTATTAATATTCAAGTGACCATAAAATACACTGATACAATGGCCATACATTTCTGATGCTAAGCTCCACTATTATTTGTCTTCTATGTATCTTGCATTAGTACACAAGAATTGTCATCTTCTTAACCATTAATAGTTAAGGGTGTCTGCTGCTGCTGTGACTTCCAGGCTACTAAAAAGTATTACAGATTGCACCAATAAGCTGCTAGAAGTTCAGCTGTGATTGTGGTTAAAAAAGAAAAAATGGGTAATGCTGCTGGACCTTGACTCCTCCTACACTCCCCCCACCCCATATTATGAATGTGCCAACCTACACATTATACTGTTGCATTTAGAACTGAAAGCATGGCCTGGGGGCCTTTTTCTTAGATAATTTATAAGAAGTAGAGCCATCACTCTTTCCTGTTGGCCACTGCTTTTTTTAAATTTGTGAGCAGCATTAAATGTAGAAGAAGAATGTAAATAGGGCGAATGGCCAGTGGTTGGCTAGTTTTAGATTAATGTATTCAAACAGTATGGCTTTGCCCTGATCGCCACTGAATAGACTTGGAAGCAATTCTTGCTTTTAGAAAAAGTTAGCAACCACTCCAGGAGAATAGGAGATACAAGCTGACATTTTAAATACAGCGCTTCTCTTTAGATTCATAAAGGCCGTGGTTTAACTGAATTTAGAATTGTGTACACACACACAGCCTACCCAAAATTTAATAGCAGTTTAGTAAATATGAACACTTCAGTACCAAAATGTATAGAAGACTGTAGCTAAATCAAGCTGCACTTCACCACTACACCACAAGAAGTACCTTAAAACACCTTCCAATAAAGGAATTTTATGATATAGGGCTGCATGAAGGCAAAAGATCTGAAGCCCTGTGGAGGTGTTATTTCATGTCATAGTGGAAGGGACTAAAGCAGAAAAAAGGTACAATAAGTGGAAGTTCCTTAACTCATAACACTAAGTCAACTAGACTCAAAAAGGTTTCAGAGGAACAGCCGTGTTAGTCTGTATTCGCAAAAAGAAAAGGAGTACTTGTGGCACCTTAGAGACTTACCAATTTATTTGAGCATGAGCTTTCGTGAGCTACAGCTCACTTCATCAGATGTATACCGTGAGCTGTAGCTCACGAAAGCTCATGCTCAAATAAATTGGTTAGTCTCTAAGGTGCCACAAGTACTCCTTTTTTTTTAGACTCAAAAAGTGGCTTAAGTTTAGCTGGGTCTTTCATATGGTTTTAGTTAAAATATTGCTTTTCTGAACGGTGGCTATTCTATGCTATCAAACTTTTATTATTATATATATATAGGCTTGGATTTATAAAGTATGTGGACATTTCTATTTTTTGTAGCATTCAGTTGCCTGTGATTTATGCAACCCCTACAAACTGTTCTCTTCCAGAAGTCCTACCTGGTTTGCCTCAAACTTTAAAATAAATATATTTCCAAAAGCTGGTGGGTTTTATTTACTTTGTAACTTGCCACACATCTTTATTAATCTTTGAAATTGGTTGATATAGCAGGGAAATGGCTTGCCGTTTGAAACGTGACCATGTCCTGTGCAATCCATTGCCACCTCCATCTGCAGTAAACCTATAATCTCCCACAGTAGACCTGTTATGGTCACTAATGTAGATGTTTTGTAGTTACAACTATCCCAGCAAGATGTTAATAAAGATTGGAAGAAGAATTAAAAAAGCCTACCAAACCGCATAAATATGCTAGCCACAGAAAATTAAATGCTTTTTTAATTCGGTGTGCAAACCTTTAATTATGGGAGCAGTGATTAATAGTGGCCCTAAATGTAAGAGAGTAGAAAATCCCTCTGCATAACCAGTCTAGATTATGGTTATTTTTATTAAACAGCACTAGCTAACAATTTTAAATGCCACTTAGAACCAAGCATAATTGAGGTTTAACACTTCTACAATTGTGGTATCAAGTCACAATAAACCCTGCATGAGCCCTCATGTGTAAAACAGCATGAGGTTAGTGCCAATTTATAGCCAAGAACATGGTGGCAATAAACAAAAACATGTCTCAGGATCAACAACTGTGTTACCTAAAAAGTCCATAATAGGGTTCCAAATAGCCTCAAGTAAATCCCCTCTCTTCCTCAAACTACATGTGCTCTTTACCTGCACAGCTGTTGGGCACAATCAAGTGAAAATATTCAGCCTCTGTTGTGTGGTACTGATTTTCCAGTGTCTCAGTAAGACATTGCAGCCATTAGTCCAAGTACTAAATCTTTTTTTTTTTAAAGGATTGGAGCAAAATAGTAGAAAAACTTCTCTTTTCTGTATTTAAAAATAATTTTGGAAAGGATCCTGCACTCTCCCTGCCCTCTCTCTCTACTGCTCAGTTTAATACACATGCTCATTATTATGACTTCACATGGTCCTCTGCAGTGTATGTGACCAACTGTGAAGTGAGGCCTTCTTTAGAAACTCTCCTAGTATGCAGCTATTTCTCTGTGATTGGATATCAGGCATTAGAGGTGGGAGATGATTCCTAACACAGGCAGACCTAAGACACACCTGAGTTTAATACCTTGTGTCACTGATTCAGATCCACAGTTATTTGGCTGTGATGGACAAAAATTGTCTAATAACTGTTCGGTGACATACATAGAAGGTCTAGTTCTTGCTCAACAAATGCCCACACTGCAAACGCTACTTCTGTAGATGGTGCTACATGGCTTTGTTGCTTGCTGGTAATCTTGCCAAAGATAGTGTGGCTGCACTTCAACCAGAGTAACTAGTCAAATTTTGGATATTCCAGTTGGAAGTAGAAATTGATGGAGTCTGGTATTCCCTTTGATACAATCTTATTTATAAGGAATATACAAAGTCCACCTTCTCCAAATACAGGAGGAACCAAGAACAAAAGGAACAGCTTCTTAGCTTACAGCTCCAAGCCTCTTTAGACAACAGACCCAAAAGCTCTCGCTCTAGATTTTCCCAGGGTCACACTGTGCTCATAGGCTACTGGTGGCTTTCTTGCTTTTTGCCTGTGCTTCTCTCTCTCACTCCCCACCTGATCACAATCCCTAGTCAAACCCTTAGCCCAAGTGATGGTAGTTTCCCAGCAGAGTCTGTTAGGACTTATTTTAGGTGTCAGCCCCTTAAATGGGTCTTACAACTATCTTAATTGAAGGGTGCGTTCCTACCCATCAGTCTCATTGAAGTTTTAACTCAACCCATACTAAGGTGTAACCTAGCTCTTAACAATAGCACCAAATATGTCTTGGCTTCCTCAGCGCTCTAATCTACATTTAAAATTTAGATTGACCTAGCTACATCACTCAGGAGCGTGAAAAATTCATACCGCTGAGTGATCTAGTTAAGGTGATCTAATCCTGCCCCAGTCTAAAATTCTTCCGTCACCCTTGCTTCCAACAGTCAGGGTAGTATTCTGTCACCCTAGGAAGTGTCTAAAATACAGCACTAGGGCACCATAGCTGCAGCTGTGCCACTGGGGTGCCCGTGGTGTAGACATGTTCTGTGTGCATATACATGATACTTTTCCTGCCTCACTGTGCCCGTTCTGCACAAATATATCGATAAAGGGATCACTAGCCACAGAACCCAGGATTTTAGCAGTGCAAGCCTCATTTTGGGGAAGTTAGGTTTCTATGTTTGGTGTGTATATATATGTGTGTGTGTGTGTGCATATACAATTTTTACATCAACACTATTTCTCAAAATAATTCGCTCTCAGCTGTTGCATTGTTTCTCATAGGCTTAGATAACAGGCTGGCTTCTCTGATTATACAACGTAGTGCCAGAGTGGCCAGTGTGATGTGTGAAAACTGTCATTCTTGTCCTGCCAGCTAAAGATTACTAAGTTATTTTCAAAATATTTGTGGTGGCTGTCATCCTGTGTGAAATCACAAATGGGAGGGCACCAATCAGACGTCCATGGGTTTGTAAGGAAAGGGAGCATTAGAAGCTCCTATTACTGGTAATGACTGCCTTAAGTAGCTCCACACAGGCACTGGATTGCCACACTGATTTTAAATGAGCATATGCAATTACAAGGTGAAGTTCCATAAATTGTCAGATTTATCATATGGAGAGAAGGAGATAACTCCATCCTTTTAAAAATCTTGTTATCAGAGATGATGGGGCCAGATCCCCCAGTTATAGATTTTCCATCTGGGAGTCAACTGCTCCAGGACTTTTAAGTAATATTAGTAACTACAAATGACTTTTCATGTATTTGGATTAGTGGAAATGTCTCTGAGCTATCTCTGAGGCCTATTCGGAAATTTCAGCTAGTGCAAAAAGCAGCTGGCTGCAACCAAGGGGTGGTCTGTGTATGGAGCATGTGTTGTCGGTTTTTTCCAGGTTCTTAAGGTGTTGATGTATAAAGCTGTATCCATGCTACAAGAGAGCACTCGCTCCCTGTGCACCATTTCAGCAGTAAGTGCAATTATGATAAATGGATTTTGCACAGTAGGAAGTTCATTTTCAGTTGACTTGTCAGTTTTTCATCTCTGATATACATTTAATAGTGGAACTACACCTGCTGACTATTGCTGGGTCCCTGTATACAAATGAAACAAAATCTAGTCTCCCTGGTGACGCTAGGCTGGGAGATGGGTTATAAGTCTCAGTAGATCTGGGCATAAGGTGATCACTAGCTGGGAGTAGGAAGAGGTTTCCTCCCACCATATACTTTGGTCTGGTCCAGCAGGATGGTTCCCTCTATTCTGAATACTACATGTGTTTGACTAGTTATCTTTTTTTAAAATTTTACTGTTGTCAGTTCCCTAGGGCAAGGGGTCTCAAACTTCATTGTACCGCGACCCCCTTCTGACAACAAAAATTGTTACATGACCCCAGGAGGGGGGACGGAAGCCTGAGCTTGCCAGAGCTCCATCGCCCTGGGTGGGGCTGGGGGGCCAAAGCCAAAGGGCTTCAGCCCCACGCAGGTGGCCCGTAACCTGAGCCCTGCCACTCAGAGCTGGAGCCCTCAGGCTTTGGCTTCGGCCCTGGGCCCCAGCAAGTCTAAGCCACCCTTGGCGACCCCATTAAAACAGGGTTGTGTCCCACAGTTTGAGAACCCCTGCCCAAGGGTAAACTCACTTTATGGACCCAAACCGCCCACTCTCTCTACCACCTACATGCAAAATTAGCAACCTTTTCTTCTGGTAGGGGGATTCTAGCGCCTTATTGATTTGGGGACAAGAGGAAGGAAGAAAGGGAAACAACATTCCTGGTCTGCATTCTAGTTCTAAGCCATATGCTCCCTGAATAGGGAGGAAGCTAGGACATGCAATATATACAGGTTTCAGAGTAGCAGCCGTGTTAGTCTGTATTCGCAAAAAGAAAAGGAGTACTGGTGGCACCTTAGAGACTAACCAATTTATTTGAGCACAAGCTTTCATGAGCTACAGCTCACTTCATCAGATGCGTGCTCAAATAAATTTGTTAGTCTCTAAGGTGCCACAAGTACTCCTTTTCTTTTGCAATATATACAGGCACTAGAGGGAGCTTCACAAACCAACCAGAAGGGGAAGAGAGAATAACAAGATGGTGGAGATTTGCATGTACAGAGTTTGCTTGCACAAAAATCCAATTTAATCCTACTTTTGTCAAACTACATTTTCTGTGTGTGTGTGTGTGGATGAGGGGGCGGGGGAAGGGGGTTAGCAAACGCTGTATTTGATAGTGAGAAGAAAAACAAACAAGTAAACTGACACTGTGTGTGTGTGTACACACATCTCTACACAAATCCCCTACCATATAGCCTTAGCTATGCTGGCTGTCACTCCACATACAGGGCTGTGATGGTCCCCCATTCCTCCCCTACCCATCCTGATTGGTGATCCTTCCCAGAGGACAACTAGGCTGAGGTGATTCCTGTCACATGACGTGTGGAGGTGGGAGGTTGCCAGTTTACAAGAAGCTCTGTAATGTGCACAGCAGTCTCCCAGGTGAAGCAGGAACCTAGAGCCTGGCTCTCTGATTTCCTGTTGTGCTTGTCTAGCGCCCCTTGGCAAAGCTAAGAATCATTGAAACTGTAAACAATAGTGGCATCTATCCAAAAGTAGAAACTGCCCAAGGACAGAAGTTGCCTTAATGTAGACATTAATCCATAATAGAAATAGTAGTTGTAACCATAGACTAGGGTAGAGGGATATATATCAGATAACTTCTAGTTCCTCCCACTTACTATATAGAGCAAATTTCAGAGGAACTCAACTATTAAACCTCACAAGACATCAGAGCAGTAAGTTGTATACTTGTTTTATAGATGGTTGAACTGAGCCACCTTCCAAATGCACGTCAGTCAGACCTCGTAATAGATGAGGAAAAAACATTCTAAGTAGACATTAAATACACACTGTCAAGGTTCCTTCCCCACTCTGAACTCTAGGGTACAGATGTGGGGGACCTGCATGAAAACCCTCTAAGCTTATTTTTACCAGCTTAGGTAAAAACTTCCCCAAGGTACAAACTATTTTACCTTTTGTCCTTGGACTTTATTTTGCTGCCACCACCAAGCGTCTAACAAATATATAATCGGGAAAGAGCCCGCTTGGAAACATCTTTCCCCCCAAAATCCTCCCCAAGCCCTACACCCCCTTTCCTGGGGAAGGGTTGATAAAAATCCTCACCAATTTGCATAGGTGAACACAGACCCAAACCCTTGGATCTTAAGAACAATGAAAAGAAGAATTTTAATAGAAGAAAAAGTAAAAGAATCACCTCTGTAAAATCAGGATGGTAAATACCTTACAGGGTAATCAGATTCAAAACATAGAGAATCCCTCTAGGCAAAACCTTAAGTTACAAAAAGACACAAAAACAGGAATATCCATTCCATTCAGCACAGCTATTTTATCAGCCATTTAAACAAAACAGAATCTAACGCATATCTAGCTAAATTACTTACTAAATTCTAAGACTCCCTTCCTTTTCTGTTCCCAGCAAAAACATCACACAGACAGAGAGAGCCTTTGTTTCTCCCCCCACTCCAGCTTTGAAAGTATCTTGTCTCCTCATTGGTCATTTTGGTCAGGTGCCAGTAAGGTTATCCTAGCTTCTTAACCCTTTACATGTGAAAGGGTTTTTCCTCTGGCCAGGAGGGATTTTAAAGGTGTTTACCTTTCCCTTTATATTTATGACACACCCGCCTCTGAATTATGAGAGCTGATAGGAAAATGAAATGTTAAGTGCAGGTATTCTGATGAATACGGTAGTTACCGTAATGTTAGCAGTAAGGGGAATGCATGATGAGGTGTTGCTACGCTCCCTTTCTCTGTGAAGAGGTTTGTCTTTATTTTTCTAGCTCTTTCATACTCAGCACTAGTATCTGGTAACTGGTAAAGAAATATGCACTGTACTGGTCAGTTTGGGGATTATATACTGAGAAGGAATAAAATGTAACATCCTCCTCTCCAGAGTTTGGATAATGAGTATTTACTTAGACCAAAGACAGGAAACTGGTCTAAACACTTGGAAATCCCAGGTAACAGTAAAATATTGTGATCCATTGGTAAGCCTCTCAGTTGACAATAGTAAATCCTCGGTTACTCAGACTGTGATCTCCTAATACAATTCAGCTTTAATTTTGGCTGACAATTTCTCTGCAGACACTCCTTCCCAGAACCCATGTTACAAGGAGGTTGAATTGTCTAAGAAACAAGAAGGCCCACGACCTCTTCTGTTTTGTTCCCATCATTGGCCACCTAACCTTGACAAGAGCCAATCATTTTGCTGCCTAGGTGCTACTGCTGCTTGACTGAATTCTAAATGTGTTATAAAAGGGATCAGTCTGCTAACAGTTATCTGGAAAAAGAAACAAAAAATTGAACTCCCCCCACCCCCAATCTCATGTTTTCTGACCAGTTCTACTCTATAGACAAGTCTGTACCTTCAACCCTCAGCACGTTGGGTCTCTCACCTGTACAAAATACAGAATCTTCAAGATCCTTCCCTCCCGAAGTTGCAAGTCATTTCTCAGTTTTGCTCCCACTTATGGCCAGAGCTCAAAGCTAATGAAGAGAGGCTCTATCCATGACCAGTGGACTGTGCTAGCAATAATTGTTTGGGATCAGTAGTGAGACAAACTAATTTTGAACCTCTCTAAAAGTCATCAGTTTGAAAGTTTCGCCTTGTTATTGGCTTCCAATGGTGTCAGAGAGAGGTATTCAAGCAAAGGGAGGCAGAAAAATAATCTATTGCAGTAAACCACATAACTGTGGTTTCCTTTGGCAATGAATGCTAAGTTAGTGTAATGGATACTGTGGCTAAGAGTAAATGTAGTATCTTTTGCAGAAGAAGCTAGGTATATAGACTGGAGACTTACTGCTGGTGCAAGAAAGGTATAAACTCTTGCAGTACAAACTGCAAGAGATTTGGGTTCAATTCCCAGATGTCAGACTTCTCAGATGACCTTGGACAATTCACTTACTAGAATCTTCCAGTTACTCAGCACTTGGAGCTCCACTGTCGTTAAGTACAGTTGTAGGGAGCCAGAAACTGAAAAACAGCTCCTTAGTGCCTCAGTTTCCCTCCCTGTAACAAGTATAATTTTCTCTGTCACAAGGAATTATTGGATAACATCACTGGTTGTGAGGCATTCAGATGCCACGGCGATATGAAACCAGAGAGAAAAAACCTGACCCATAACACTTCCCACAGAGACCACTGCAGCACAGTGATTAGTAACAACCTAACCAGGCCATTATTCAGTAGAGGGTAAGCTCAAAGGAGAATTGGGACACCCAGTGTCCAAAAATCTTGTGTATAGAAGTATATTTAATGTACAGAAGTATGCCTGTGCGATGCTGAAATACAAATCTGCCTTACTGTGGTTCTAATCCCCACGTATGACCCACTAATAAAAAGGGTTTTTTAATACTTACCATCTGTGCTCAAGATTGCTTCCCACACTGAAAGCTTGCCTGGTTGTAGCTGTGTAGGCATCACAGAGAATATACCTTTCAGCTGACAAGGTATGATAATCCTCGAGGGACTTTAAACTGCAAGCTGCAGTTCTCTCTCTTTGTGCGCGGTAGTCAGCTGCCTTACGTATGTAATATCTTCTCATTTCACATTTGTCATGCAGAGAAGTAAAATCTACACTTCCCTGTGACAGTAACTGTAACTCACTGATAATAGGATTTCCAGATGGGTAGCTGTAATGCATTTTTCATAATATATTAACACATAGTCCCCCACCTGTTAAGAATAATGAAAGATTTACCATTAAAAAGACCTAATGGTTCCATTCATGGGGGCTTTGCAGTAATACATCTTGGAAGACTGAGTTGACCTTACCACCACCATTTTCTACAAATCTCCCCTGTTATTTAGTTGGCAGTTGTAACACTCTTGTCCACCACCACTCAGCTGCTTATATTTATACTGTCCCTGCCCTACAGGACTAGATCTGGCAGGCTCTCCCAGTAGAAATAATGGTATACTGTATTGGTGCAAGATATGTAACAGTCATAACAGGCAACTTTAGAACTGGCTATAATGCAGTGTGAAAAATTGTCAAGTTTATTAGACAATGAGTAAAGAGCTTGCTTAAAGCAACACAAGAAGTCTACGGACTCAGATGTTCTATGCGGGAATGGATATCTGGAGAAATGCTACAGCTTGGGGCAGGCTCATTTTCCAGGCTAGTGCAGGCCATGAAGAAGAAAGCTGTTGTGCTACCTTTGTGAAAACCGACCTACATGAACAGCAATACCTCTGTCATACTGAGAGGCTCCAACAGGCGATCAGAGCAAATGACAACTGCATGGAGAGGCCTTGAGGTTTGGAAAGACAAGGTAGGTAACACAGATGGTCAGTTATTACAGCAAATGCACAAGGCTGGGTAAGGAGGTGCAAAACAACTGTATCAATGTCCACTCTCATATGCTGTGGCAGGAGTTGTGAAATCCATTGCTACGGCTATGCAAGTGCAGCATGAAATGTATCAGGTTCTGCAGGCATACATCATAGCCTCCATCCCATAAAACCTTTGATCAATATTTTTGGACTCTAAGCAAAAAGGTCAGTCTGCTTTTTGGTTTTTTTACATTTTTCTCTCCAATTTGGTTAGTGCCGAGCTTCAAAGTGATAAGGCTTATATCTACCACAAAATAATTTCAACTTTGATTTTTCTTTGACTTTAGAATGATAAGAGATCAAAGGTTTTGCTTACTGCATTGCAGCAGATATTGTATAAGTCCTGCTTACAAAATAACTCTGGTTTTCATGAAAAAGTTTATTTTCCTCCCCCAACCACTGATGAGCAAATGACAACCGTACAGAATAAAAGCTCAATTCCTTAGTTCTGCTCACATTCGTTCAACATTTGTGCTAATCAATTATCTTATTTCATGCAATAAGAAAAGAATGAGATTCCTGTTATGCAGCCCTAATCAGTTACAGTGTGAAGCTTTGTCGGTGGAACATTTTTGATTTTGAAAACTAATCACGTGCTTTGCCATTACATTTCTCTTGTAAGACCTTGGGATTTTACCCAACTTTTTTGGGGGGTGGGGGGAGTAAACACATGGATGCCACATTCTAGCCCTAGATACCACATTCTTACATCGCAGATGCTAGCCTAATTGTAATATAAGGAACATATTTACGCATGGAGCCAGACCGTATTTTTCTAGTTTATTAGCACATTGAAGTGTAAGTGGATGTTCTCTGCAGAGAGAGACTAAAGGGCATGGTTGCATGTGAAGTGGATATTTGGAGGTGATATAACAGTCTTGTCTTCACAAGAAGGGCTCAATATTGATCTCTAGGGCAGAGCATGGCATGGCGAGCTCAAATTTGGTGATAACATCAGGGTGAAGGACTCCAAGCTTCCCAATACTTTGACCTTTGGCAAGGATTTCAGCACAACGGCCAGGGAAGAAAGCAGAGTCTGAAAAGAAAGTGAGAGAAAAATCAATATTTCTTCAGGCTAAAAAAGTTAATAGACATTTAACAGTGAGAACAAAGCTTTTATTATTCAACGGTTTTCTCTGCTAAGAATGGGCTCTCTCACTTTCTAGCATTAATAGATGTGCAATGATTGACAAAACAAGGAAACACTTCAAGTTAAAAATAAAATGTGGAGCCCTAACATGGACATTTTCCCCCACTCTAAAGTTGTTTTGACAAGCATTTTTCCTATAATAGAAATCAGTGCAGATGAGTAAAGTCAGCAGAGACACACTGAAGTTAAGAAATTTAGTATACTTCAAGTATTATCCAAAACCTGAATGTTTCCCACCTTATTATGTTTAGGAAAATAAAGCTTGCTGTCATCTAAGGGGCGAGCAGGAATGTCACGCTTGATTACATGCCACATTACTAGTAACATGACCTACATTCCTTATCTGGAGAAGAGCTTTTAAGCAGTTTCATGTATACTGTAAAACCACAGTAACGACTAACTCAAAGGAAGCCTGAGATCTTCTTCTATATATCTCAAATCAAGCACCAAGTTTTTAAATGTTATTTGGTAGGTTTTTTTGTTTTTGTTTTTTTAAATTAGTTGTAACAGTAACAGAGGAAGTCAGCAAAGGAAGAAACATGAGGATTTCTTACTGAGGGCCCAGTATGAGTTCCCCTGTCTGGGAACTTATACACCTACATTAGGGTCTTGCCTACCTAGGGAAGTTATAGCAGTATAAGCTAAATCGTGAATTTAAACCAATATAGTTACACAGGTCTATCCCCCCACATTATAAAAGTGGCTTTTATTTTGGATTAGCTCACGTCACTTTGGAAGGGTATTAAGCTACACTGAAGAGAGTCACTCTTATACTTGGAAATAGTATACACACAGGGAGTTGTGTAGGTATAGCTACACTGATTTAACAATGTCTATATAATTATACCAATATAACTGGTAAAACTTTCCTGTGTACACAAGCCTTAAATGCCACAGATGCAGAAAGTTCTACTCTGCTAACAAATTTCTGAAACAGTTGATAAATATTTCCTTCTATCTTCTCTAATAATGAAGTGCAGGATTCAATCATCAACAACAATTAGCAATGGGAGCTTAAGAACAAAGTTTCGTACTATTGGTAGTTATTCCCTGTGACTGCTGTAGGCAGACATTACTGGATAGTATTTCCAAGTTAGTAAGATTTAAGATTCCAAAAATGCTTTTTTAGATTCAGGAAAAACACGTTCCAGGGAGAAGTGGAGAAGGGAGGGAAAATACTGGGAAAAACAACTCTTCCCTCTCTTTTCCTGTCAGGCCAGTCTCAAACAAAGCACTAAACTGCACCAGTAGATGGGAGTTATTTTATTACACCAGAAGGAACATGCAAGGGTCTATGGTCTATTTGATCTCATCTTAAATTACTAAAAATGAGACCTGTGACTCATGTCCTAGTGTACTGGGACCTCCTGGAATCAAAGCATATAACTCTGGACCACAGTGATTTACCCAATGGGACCAGAAGAACTGTAGCTAGTAGCTCTAGCAGAGTTCCTTGTGCACAGTCCCCTCAAGAGAGGGGAGGGGTACAAGGAGTAGGCAAGGCCTCTCAACTCCATTGATCGCCCAGTGTTCTGCTGCTACCCAGAGGGATTTCCACTCAGAAGTCTGGTGAGTCACCAGGGGACAGGACCACAAAGAGTAGTCAATCCCCAACTCTACTGCGCCCTACGCTTCCCTTTACTGTACCAAAAAAAAAAAGAAAAAGAAAAAAAAATCTCACAAAACACCTTCTACAAGAAAATCCAATGGAGCACTCCTTGTATGGTGAGAATCAGGGGACGACACAGCAGGGGAGAAGCTCATCTCCCCACCACCCACTTCTGGAGATGCACAGCACATCCCTGTGCTGACGGGTCATTCAGCAGACACACCCTCTGTGGCAGGGAGGCCACCGTTTTATTGACACTCCACTGACTCAGCTCCCACCAGAGCCCTGGGCCAACATGCTCTGGGCACTGCATAAGGCCAGAAAGAGATTCCCTAATGGCAGTTTTCTCTTTGGTTGCTCTGAAGTGCTATTAAAATTCTGGCAGGAATGCTCAGGTCATTATAACGTCCTTAGAAAGAGCCACTTAAAATGGCAACATCGGGTCAAATTCAGCCCTGAACCTCAGATTCATCTTTTATGAAACTCAAAGGGCCAACAGACACTGGGCCCCCAATTTTTTCTTCTTTAAAACATCAATGGAAACTTATTTTGAAATGTCCCCCTGCAGTGTTTGTCTACAAAGTTTACATGTGCAAGACTCTGAAAGTAAAATCAATTATCCTGTTTTCATTAGCCAACCTCTGGGAAATACCAATAGAATGTAAATGTATTTTTCACTCTGTACTATTTGTTTACCAACACTTTCAGTTTTAACAATCATAGTAATGTAAATAAGGAGATGTTTTAAAAATATTTTGAATGAGCAAGTGTGTCTTTAAATCTAATCACACTATTCCAGTCTCAGTTATAAGGACAATCCAACTTTGGTATACGTATTTATGCTGGACATTTAAAACTGAAATTATGTGAACCCTAAATTCTACTGAAATGTTGATCTAGCCAAATAGTCTCTTTTTACAGCCTAACTGTTGTACCCAGAATGGTCCCTTAAAGTAAAACTTGACAAAAGAAATTTAGAAAAGCTAAACAAGTGTTGTGTATACTAATCTCTCTTCCACTTTCAATGAAAACCTACTCAAGAAATAAGAGTATGCTTGCTGTCAGTAACGACAGAGTTATCTATTTGGTGAATAAAGCTGGTATTGTACCAACTTATTTGAATAGGATACAGTGATGTTCTCTTCAAGACCTGAGTTTTTAATTTAGGCACAAGAGCAATGTGTCAATATGGTCTTATAGCAAGAGACTGTGTCAAGGTCATTAAACTGTAGCCAAAAAATGCTGTTAACAATATGCCTAGCGGTTAGTCAGGAGACAGAGTCAGGACTCCTGATATCTATTCCTCCAATTTCTGTCTGTGCCAGTCAGTATGTAGTAAGGTTACTTTATCCTCTGGTGCCTCAGTTTTCCGGGTACAACACCTTCCATCCTTAGGTTAAATTGTTTTTAATATGCATTGAGATCTTTGGATCATGCTATAATAATATTGTACTGAGGTCACCCCAAAATAAAATCAGTTTTTGTCACTGAATCTTTATTGTGGCTATACAAACTGCCCTTTCGTTAGAAGAGAGATATATAACCTATGGTATTCAGTGAGTTAATACTAAGCCATATATTTAGGCAGGGACTTAATCGTCACTGGGCTTAATAAGGACCATATTATACCACATCTCTCTCTGGGAGTTCTGACTGATACATTTGTGCAGCAAAGAGTAGTCGTGGTGTAGAGTCCCAACTATAAAAAGGCATATGTATATTGGATACTCCTTTGCTAGAGGTCATAATGAGCGGGGCTGCTGAAGTAATTGGTTTCAGAATGGCTGCATTTCTGGAAGGGGGCTGTTATTGGAATCAAAGTTAAATAAGTTATTAGCAAAAGCTTCCATAAAGTAATCCACAGCCACGCCAGTATTTTGTTTTGGTTCTAAAACGGCTGCCTCAGAAGAGTTAGGTTTCAGAGTAGCAGCCGTGTTCGTCTGTATTTGCAAAAGGAAAAGGAGTACTAGTGGCACCTTAGAGACTAACCAATTTATTTGAGCATAAGCTTTCGTGAGCTACAGCTCACTTCATCGGATGCATTGGTTAGTCTCTAAGGTGCCACTAGTACTCCTTTTCTTTTTTCAGAAGAGTTAGAATCATATGACCAATACACATCCTAAAATATGGCACACACTCTTCAGAATATAAAGCAGTAAGCCATGCTACATGTAGAATGTTTTATTTGGACGTCCTGGAAACTGTTACAGTATTTGCTGTTATAAGTCTGTGGGGAGCTTAGGGGCACTTAATGAAGAGTGGTCACATTTCTCAGGCTTTATGCTGCTTCCCATTGTGTGAAACTAGTTTACATAGGAATGCTCTACTAGCCAGGCATTTCTAATATGCACACAACCGAGTAGCACTTAGGTGGGAAAAAAAAAAGTTTGCTCCGCCCAGCTTTGCCCTACCCAAAAGCAGTGGTATTCATGAAATTCTACGTGTTTTTGAGAAAGATATTTCCCAAAACACTAACACCCTAAACTTAAAACACTAAAACTTTAGGATGCCATGGGATAAAATGCTAAACTGGTTACTTTTTCTAACAAAGCAATAATGTGTAATTTTACCATAATCAACCTCTTATAAAAGCAATAACTAAAATTCAGTATTGTACAAGTACTAGTTTGTAAACTCTTTAGGGCAGGGAGTTTATCCTTGTTTTGTAAAGGCATTTCTTTAGTACTACATCAGTAATGAGCAATAATGTAACAAAGGAAAGCACCAGCAGGAAGAAAAAAGGTCAGCTAGAACCTGAACACTGATATGGGTGTGGTCCCAGTAGCCATCACTGGCTGAGAATAGAACAGAACTCACTGTGGTTCTGGGGGTTCTCTTTCAGGCTGTTTGTCAATGTTGTGCTCTCATTCCTATCAGCTAAGTTTGGAGAATGCACTCTGATTTCATATCTTACTTTGAGGTTCCTTGTCGCCCTCAGTGTGAGGAATTAGACATAAAACTCCCATTAACAGGGGTCATGCCATGGACTCCCAGGACATGGTGCTGACAATTCAACCCTCCACACTTGCTCTTTACTTCTGTTTCTACTCAGTCTGGGATGTCCATTATTTATCAAATGCAATAGGTGTGCAGGCTACTTTACAAACAAGAAAATCACATAACAGAGGTGAGATTCTATAGTAAATAAGCAATGAGAACAAAGTGGTTGGGGCCATAAGCTTTAGGCTCTCTTCTGGACCAGTCAACTGTTGAACTCTGCAGTGGACAAGCAAGGGTTCCTGTCTTGTTTGAATTAAACTGGACTGTTCACATATGA